TTCACAAAAGGGCAGGATAATTAGAAGGCAGTAGAAACGGATCTAAGATAGTAGAAATAGGTGCTGACACATCAGTAATTCTGTAAATGTAAATAGACTAAGGGCTCTAGTAAAAATGCATTGGTTGTTGGATTTGATATTTTGAAAATACTGCTATGTGCACTTTTAAGAGATACCTCTAAATTGTAAGAATTCTGTAAGGTTAAAACTAAAAGGATGTAAAAGGCACACCAGGGAATACTAACTCCCATCCTGCCCCCAAAAGCTGGACAGTTAATGGTACAAAAATATATTTAAATAAATCATAATGAATAGATATTCACTTCATGATGATGTAACAATTTTATGAACCTAAAATAAAACCTCAAAATATGTAAAGCAAAAATTGACAGTACAAGGAGATTGAGGATAAAGTCACATTCAGGGTGAAAGCTTTCAAAATTTCTTAATTGATTGCTCAGGAATCCAAAAATCACTAAAGATATAGACTATCTGAACAGTATAATTAACAAGTTTATGAAATGGACAAAGATATACAGATTACTAAATCCAGCTGCTGTACAGGGAACATTTTCACTGGACCATAAAAATCTCAACCAATTTCAAAGGATTGGTACCATACAGATCACCTTCCCTGGATCTGTGCAGATCAAGTAAAACTTAATAACAAAACCGGTAAAGCCCCTTAATATTTTGAAATGAAGAAACACTTCCATATCACTGTTAAGCCGAAGAGGAATAACGAAAACTATAGCCGTTCTAACGTGTCCAACCACACCTGGGGGTTGGCTGCTACAGGCTGCTACCTGGTACCCTGAGCTACAGTTTAAATCTAGATTCGTATAGCTAGAGGAAACCTTAGAGAAAATTAGGGTTAAACCCTCATTTTACAAAAGCAGATATGAAGGTGCAAGGAGGCTGAGTGGCTTGTCCTAGGCCACACAGCTAGGTGGTGAAGGAATCAGAACTAGAACCCGGTCTCCCAGTTCACATTCTGTCAGAGCTCTGTGACAGTGCTGTCCAAACTTTGTCCATACCATGGTACACAAAGAAAACGACAGTGTAAGACATGCTGAGGTAAGCTGGAGGGAACATGCGGACTTCGTGAAAAATTCATGACACTTCTTCTACTAAATAATTATGAAACGTGTAAATTATGAACAAAAGATAAAGAAGTATCAGGGAAGATACTACAAAATATTTATAAAACTACAAACTTGTAACATTTTATATTTGAAATTGTTACACACAATTCTTATCAAGATCCAGTCAAATTTTTGAAAATCATTGAGGATGCTCTGTATGCATAACTGGGTGATAAATTTAAAGCAACATCTTACAACCATTCAATAATTTACAGCAGTGGCAATTATATTTGATGGTGAATAGCTCTTTTTCTTTCATTGATAAATGTAATACTAAAATATCTTCAGAAACGGATTTTGAATTCAATCAAAATTTTCTTATCAAGTATTTCAAAATGATGATGCTGCCCTGCTTTGCAGAAAGCGCAGGCATTGTTAACGCAGTCATGGGCAGTTAACTTGGTTGGATGCCTCCACGCTGGCCTGTCAGCTGCAAATGGACACAGGCATCAGATGTATGTGAAGCGCAGGTGCTGGCTGCGCCTGGAGCTGCACCACCAGGGGCGCACTCTCCTCTTGGCCTCCCGCCCACCTCTGCAGGGGGGCTGGGGGCTGGGGGCTGGGCTCCGTGGCACGTGGAACATCATAAACTGCTCCAGCCGCGCCGCAGGCCTCTTGTTGGTCTGGGCAGTGGTGACATCTACACCAGGCGAGGTGCTACGGCACCAGCTGGGTCTTGCTCCAAACTGTCCAGGGAGCAACAAGTTCCAGATGTTTTTGCTATCAGTGAGGACCAGGGCAACCAGTCAGGTGTGGGTCCTGGTGAAAAAAAACTGGGCGGACCCCCCAGTGAGGGCTGAATGGCTAGATATTTTTACGTGGATTTTGAATTTGATAGGCAAAACCTAGTGGGCTCAGGCTCCCTCCTGGTCTGCAGCTCCAGTGATCTTTGCCAACTTGTCCTGAGCCCTGCGCGCCCACCTCCATCCCCAGCCTGGTGAGTCCACGGGGCAAGGCAGTCAACCCCACGCCCTGCATGGAGCCCCAGAGGAGGCTGGTGCTGTGGGAGACAGCTGCCCCACGGGCTGCGGGGATCAGTACCACCAGGCACATCTGTAACCCAGGTGCAGCACACTGTCAACAACCAGGGAGGGCCTGAGATTTTACCCTGCTTGCAAGCTCATGAGTTAGCGTGCCACAGGTGCATGGATGCTGGCTGACTCCTGGGTCAGAGGCAGAGGGCTTTATTACTCCTGGCATACCAGGCAGCACGAACTTAAGGTTCACATCAATTCCCCCTGCACCCCGAGTCCCATGTGCTAACAGCCCAAGCAGATGGTGCACACACAATGCATCTGAATCACAGCTGAGGAAGCCCAGCTTAGGAAACCCCAGTGACGTCAGGCGGCTGCTCTGCTAGCCAGCCTGTCCAACCTTTGCCCTGCAGAGAGACAATGGTCTTTATTATCCTAGTCAGGAAACAAATCTGTCCTCTGCCCCAGACGGAGACCCTGTCTCTATCTTCCAAGGCTATTTGCTAGACGAGCCTTGGAACGCTTAGGGACAGATAGTCTGGGACAAAAGCTGTCACAAGACATCATGGAGATTGCCCAACACATACCAGTTTCCCTTTGGCATCTGGTTGGGAAACTGCTCTCCCAATGTGAAAGGGAGGGAGTCCCCTGGGGGAAAAGAAAGGACTGCTCCCATGTGAGCTGACAACACTCTACAAGCTGCCACCACCAGTTTGGTTGTGGTAATGGCTGAGGAGCCCAACCACCCCTCCTTAGGCTTGACAGGACGAGTGCACAGCAGCGTAGTCTGCGGCCTGCTTGGCCACATTTGTCATATACAGTGCTAGGCTGGTGAATATTGTGTAAATTTACATCAGTTAACAAAACTGAAAAGCTTCAGTAACGCTCAAGCTTTTCCATTTCAGAGCTGTTCATATTTCTAATGTAGCACAGGGTCATGGCCACGAATAGACTGAAGTTCTCTGACTCCCCACAAGCTGAGCTTAGACTCAGGGTAATGAGAAACAGGTGACCTGTTAGTATGGCTGTCATCAAGTTCCTAACCCCAAAGGGTTCCCAATCCCTAAGGAAACATGGATGATTTGCAGAGAACTAGTAGAAGGCACTGTCCAAGTCCAGACTCAGCATCATGGCTTGGGACTTGGGACATTCCGTCCAATGAGGGTCTCCTAGGACAAAACTGTTTCCCAGTCCTATTTGTCCTGTTAAGAACCAGAGTGTCCTGGTTAAAAGCACAAGAGTTGGGACAGACGTGGCTCCAATCCTGGCTCGAACGCCTTCTGTTAATGCGACTTGGAGCAAGTTACTTAACCTTACTTTCACCGTCGGAAAGCAGGATCACTAGTGTAACTGCGTTTGTCGAGAAGATGAAGTAAGATGATGCATGTAAACATGCCTCGAAGGCCTGGTACATGGGAAGTTCTGTATGAGCAGGAGCCATTACGTAGGTAAGTTATTTTAGAGCTACACGTGTGAAGGAATATAGGTCTAACTCAGCCCTCCATTTTAAATCAGACTCCCTAAAACGAGGTGGGGAAATTATAGCCCATGGCTTGGATCCAACCTGTCTCTTAATTTTATCCAGTATTTCTAAAAATATAGTCTCATTAATGTCTTCTCCAAATTAAAACAGCCCTTAACACCACTATCCAGGGATAACCATTGTCAACGTTTTGGTAACCATCCTCCTACTCATCTTTCTATATTCTAGATGTATATCTAGTTATGCATAAGTACATGTATAAAGTATTACATAAATAGGCTTATACTGTATATCCTGTTTTATAAACTGCTTTTTCACCACTAAACAATACTACCTAAAATGTTAATACCAGTTGTTATTTCTTCCAAATTCTTTGGTTCAGTCCAAACTGAGGAATTGGCCTGAAACAGTTAGCATCTCATCTCTTTATTATCATGCATATCAAATGCTACTACTTTAGGAAAAAACACAAGCTTACTTCACTTCATTTTTATAGGAAGGACAAAATCCGAAGTTTGTTTTTTTTTTGTGAGGGAGATCAGCCCTGAGCTAACATCTGTGCCAATCCTCCTCTTTTAGCTGAGGAAGACTGGCCCTGGGCTAACATCCGTGCCCATCTTCCTCCACTTTATATGGGACGCCGCCACAGCATGGCCTGACAAGCAGTGCGTCGGTGCGCGCCCAGGATTCAAACCCGGGCCGCCAGCAGCGGAGCGCACGCACTTAACTGCTACGCCACCAGGCTGGCCCCCGAAGTTTGTTTTTAATTAATCAAATCCTATTTTAACACAAATCTTCTTGTAATTCCTCTTGTTTCGCTAAGATAATACTGGCATCACTATCGTTTTGTGGAAGCACCTCCTGTCTGTGGGTGGGAAGAGCTGCCTTTGGACACCTGTGCACTGGGTTGATACCACTGGGTTAAGAGGTGGTAAGGATTAGTCGTATAAGATTGTGACCATTTAGTTATAAGTTGAATAACCCACCTACATATCCCTTGTAATTTAATTTTCAGATATTATATTCCGGATCTCTGCCCCACCCCCAAACCAACACACAGGTATATACTCAATCAGCATACACGACTGCTGACACTACTTCCAGTGACTGTTTATTGAATGTCATGACATTACACAGAAAGGAAGTGGATACAGTCTTGCCCAACTGGCATCCACTTCACAGTTAATTATGAAAGTTTAAAAGGTTAACAAGTTCTGTTAGCACTTCTCATGAATAGATTTCTGAAAAACATTTTTAGTAACTACAGTTTTTAAAAAATACATATTGATCAGAAGGACAAATTAAAAAATTAAATGAATGATACTTATGAGAGTTTAAAGTAATGGGTTCACCTCTCATTTTCTACAGTCTTTGACCTATTTATTTTCTGTTGATTCACAGAACCTGAGACTCAGTTTTTGAAGCTAACTACTTCCTGGGATTACTGGGAGGTAGGGTGATTATGAAAAAGGGAACACTTCAATTCTGTGTATAAAAGACTGCCTTGCATACAGATTACTTCATGAACCCCAAAAAGTACTTCAGTTCAGAGTCAAAGGCCCATGGATTGCCCATGAAGAGAAATATACAGTTCAATGTCTGTCTCATCTCCCTCCAATCAAAGTTAGTGAAATTACATTGCTGTCACAAACAGCAAAGACAATGGTATATTAATTTAACTAGTGGTTAGAACCAGGAGGAAAAGACTGCTATGCAGAAAAACATACAAATATATAGATAAAAGTGAAAAATTGAACAATGTGGACTATTTTAACTATTACTCACACAGATGTACCAGATTCAACACCCACAGAGAATCTTGCTTTACTCCATGGAGGTGGGTCCCACAATAGTTTTAACTGCCCATCTCCATCCCCAAATGTCCAAGTGAAATGAAACTCAGCAAATTCTAGACAATTGTTGTACTTTACTTAAAGAAGTCATCTGTAAATAAGAACAATCAACTGTTATGGCAAAAATAGCCTGTGAATTATAAACATAACAAGAAGGACAAACTCAAGCGTCAAAGAGAACCTGCTTTGAGTCTTAGTCTTTGGAAGGAGATCACATGGCTGCACTGACCAGCCATGTGCAAGCTCCCATCTTCAGGTCACAGAGCGCTTTCTGTAGGCCAGGTGTGTGCTCACCAAGCTATGCAGGGGTCTGGGCAATCCCGCAGGTAAGTTTCAAATTGACCTTTGGTGACATCCATCAAGGCTGTGTATACAGTCAGCTGAAAGAAAAGTTATTTTTACTTTAGGGATGTGTTGAATTCTAAGATCTTCTGACTCATATTGGCATTTCTATACTTATGCAATTGCTTTATGAAGTTACTTTATATTAAATAGTTAATATATAATATTATATAAGATAAAAATAAATATTACATAATATAAAGATCCAAATAATAATTAAATAATAATCAAAACAACTAACTTCAATGGAAAAATTATTCCAGGTCATGACTATAAACAGACTCAGGAGAGAATTTTTTCAGTTCCTTACAAGGTCTTATTCCTGAGCAGTATACTGCTTCAACACCAAGGCTTTAAGACTCACTTAACCTCTCCTCAGTGTATAACTTGCAGTCATGCAGAGCCTAACGATATGCTGTGGAGTATAAACAGTTTAGCTCTGGCTCTCTTTATCCTGAAGCATCACTAATACAGTGGAGAACTGCAGGCACACACACTACAAGGCACACACCCAGACTCAAGAAGGGAGGCACACAGGATCTGTAAGTAACCCAACTGGGAGCTCTCAGGAAGCGAGTGTGGGCCAAGTGAGAAGTCTGACAGGGTCAGTGGGCTTAAGGAAGGCTCCCTGCAGGAGTCACGTTCTGATCCCAATGCTAACAGGCAGGAGGAATTTGTTCTGGCAGAGGTAATGCACACTGATTTTAGGGAGGATTAGGGAAAAGGACCAAGGAAAAGAAGAGAAGAAACAAATGGGAAAGTTGGTATTCCCAGAATACACAAAAGAGAACGATTAGCAAAGCGGATGATTACGAAGCTTTTTGCATTTAGTAGCTATAGTGTGGGGAAAAGCTAAAAGGCTATAATCAAGTTTAAAAGAAACTCTAATCCACCAAGACACAAAGGTTTGTCTGAAAATGGACTTCAGACTTTGTTCTGTTGAGTTGAAGTGTTTGTTGTAGTGTACAGCATGAGATTTCTGACAGACAGGGAGAAGCCAAGAGTCAAATGCCAGGCAAATGCCATGTAAGTAAAACTGGAAACAATACTCTGACCAATTTGGACATCAAGCCACAGTCATTAGCGTCTTTGTGATATCCCAAGAGTTATGGTTTTAGTCACACAAAAACATTTTAAAAAATCAGCCTCAAGCTGAACATAACTTGGGATTCTAGCTCCAACTGATCCAAGATAACAGGGAAAGATAAAACACAGGGCCAGATTCTTTCCCTAAAAGCAAATATATATATATTTTTAAAATACCTTGTTGAGGACAGGTTTTGTTGACAGGACATCATATATGGTTGCAAATGAGATATTCTAAAACACAAAAATAGTCTTGTTCAGTAAGTTAAACACAGATGTCAGCAGCCTTACCCACACAAAGGGGTCATTAGAAACCAAGACATTCTTCAACCTCCCTCCAGCCCCCCTAAAAGAATTTCCCGTGGGGTCACTGTTAGAAGCATAGGTAATGGTTCTAATGTATCACTTTTTCTTTCTCTCTTTTCCTCCCCTCTTTAATTCTGGCTTGTTTATCATTCAACTTCATAGAGTGGTGTCTGGCATTAGAAAAAGAAAGGGAAAGTACAGCAAAATTTTGCTCTTTAAGTTAAAAACAAAACAAAAAGGGGCGATTTTCCAGAGATACTGAATAACAGGAGGTTTATCAGGCCAAAGAAAGGCCAAAGAAAAATGCCAGAACTAAGATAATCTTTAATGGTCACCATTTCTTTTTATGTATGATATTGTGACTGTACCTTTTGGGTTGTCCGGTTTAGACACATCTTTGTGGGTGTTCTGCGATCATCAAGGAAGAAAGGATTTTTCCAACGGTCATAATTTGTTTGTACCACATACCATCTACCCTGCTTGGGGTTGAGTCTAGATATAAAAAGATTTCTCTTAGGCTTCACACCTTAAACCTGTACATATGTTAGTCTACGCCTGAGTTCCTACTTACTTTAACAAGTGTACTTACTCGTATACATCCAAAGCTTGTTTCCTGTCTCGTGTAATCACACAACCCTCGCCAGACTTGTTGCCTCCCAGGATAAAGTAAGCTGGGGCCAATATCTTGGTTTTGGTCAATATATTCTTGGCTTCTTCATAACTACATAGAAACGTTAAGAAAAAAAAAAAAGGAAACATTTTTAGTTGACTTGGAATGAAAATTTTTTAGCTGTGGAAACTAAGGAAAAACAAGTTCCTGAGGAACATGTTTTAAAAAAGGATGGTGAACAATGGCTCAGGGAGGAACAATCCCTCACTCCTATGTAGTGAAACACTGAGATCTGAAGTGTTCCCTCTAATCTGAGAGAGAGAAAAAGCAGCCTCAAGAAATCATCTTCACCTTCACTGTCTCTGCCTTTCACTCAACAATAAAACAAAGGGAAATATTCATTACCATATACAGGATTTAGGGAATAAAAAGTAACCCTTAAAAATTAGGGCTAGTAAAAATTGAAGTAGATTTTCAAAGAAGACTACTAAATATTACTCCTTGGAAAGCATTAAAAATAGGATTGATGCCCATTTATTCTAGGTCATTTGGATGTAGTGCTGGTTAAAGGTAGTTTTGCTATCATAAGATTTCTGCACCAGCGCAGAATATAACTTCTTGGTTAGTAGGTATTACAATTTAAATGGAGATTTTTATTGTACCATTTTTCTTTTGTGTATGGGTGATTTTTTTTTTGGTACACCAAGAAAAATTTATAGGTGCTCTTCATAGTGGCACTATCCCTAGCACTTTTTAAATCAGTTCACTTCCTTGCTATAAACACACACACACACACACACACACACACACACAAAACATGAAGAATTCCATGAGTGTCAAAGGTTCACCTAAGAAATTCTGAAATAATTCCTCAATGGAAGATAAGCTGGGAAATATTTTTATATTCTAATACGAGTAATTTAAAATAAACTACAATACATTAAAAGGATCATTCACCATGATCAAGTGGGATTTATTTCAGGGATGCAAGAATGGTTCAACATCCGCAAATCAGTCAATGTGACACACCACAGTAACAAAATGAAGGATAGATACCACATGATCATCTCAATAGATACAGAAACAGCATTTGACAAAAGTCAACATCCATTTATGATAAAAACTCTCAACAAAGTGGGTATAGAGGGAATGTACCTCAGCATAATGGAGGCCATATATGACAGGCCCATAGTTATCATCATAGTCAATGGTGAAAAGCTGCAAGTTTTTCCTCTAAGATTAGGAACAAGACCAAGATGCCCATTGTTACCATTTTTATTCAATATAGTACTGGCAGCACTAGCCAGAGCAGTTTAGGCAAGAAAAAGAAATAAAAGGCATCCAAATCAGAAAGGAAGAGGTAAAACTGTCACTATTTGCAGATGACATATTATATATGGAAAACCCTAAAGACTCCACCAAAAAACTATCAGAATTAATAAATTCAGTAAAGTTGCAGGATATAAAATCAATATACAAAAATCAGTTGCATTTCTATGTACTAATAATGAACTACCAGAGAAATTAAGAAAAACAATCCCATTTACAATTGCAACAAAAAGAATAAAATACCTAGGAATAAATTTAACTAAGGAGGTGAAAAACCTATACACTGAAAACTAAGGCGATGAAAGAAATGGAAGATGACACAAATAAATGGAAAGATACTCCACATTCATGGATTGGAGGAATTAATACTGCTAAAATGTCCATACTACCAAAAGCAATCTACAGATTCAATGCAATCCCTATCAAAATTTCAGTGGCATTTTTCACAGAAATAGAACAAACAATCCTAAAATTTGTATGGAACCACAAAAGATCGTAAATAGCCAAAGCAGTCTTGAGAAAGAAGAACAAAGCTAGAGTCATCACACTTCCTGATTTAAAACATACTGCAAAGCTACAGTAATCAAAACAGTATGGTATTGGCATAAAAACAGACACATAGATCAATGGAACAGAATAGAGAACCAGACACAAACCCACGCATATATGGTCAATTAATGTACAAAAAAGGAGCCAAGAATATACAATGGAGAAAGGAAAGTCCCTTCAGTAAATGGTGCTGGGAAAACTGGACAGCCACATGCCAAAAAATAAAACTGGACCACTGTCTTACACTATACACAAAAATCAACTCAAAATGGATTGAGACTTGAACAGAAGACCTGAAACCATAAAACTCCTAGAATAAAACAGGTGGTAAGCTCCTGGACATTGGTCTTGGTGATTAGTTTTTGGAATTGACACCAAAAGCAAAGGCAACAAAAATAAAAATAAACAAGAGGAACTACATCAAACTAAAAAGTTTCTGCACAGCAAAGAAAACCATCAACAAAATGAAAAGACAACCTACCGAATGGGAAAAAATATTTGCAAATCACAAAACTGATAAGGGGTTAATATCCAAAATATATCAAGAACTCATACAACTCACTAGCAAAAAAAACAATCTGATTTTAAAAAGGGCAGAGGATCTAACTAGACATTTTTCCAGAGACATACAGATGGTCAACAGGTACATGAAAAGGTGTTCAACATCACTAATCAGGAAATGCAAACCAAAACCACAAAGAGATATCACCTCTCACCTGTTAGAATGGCTATTATCAAAAAGACAGATCATAAGTGTTGGTGAGGATGTGAAGAAAAGGGAATCTTTCTGCACTGTTGGTGGGAATGTAAACTGGTGCAGCCACTGTGGAAAACAGTATGGAGGTTCCTCAAAAAATTAAAAATATATCTACCATATGATCCAGTAATTCCACTGATGGGTATTTACCTGAAGGAAACAAAAACACTAACTCAAAAAGATATCTGCACTCCCATAGAGCATTATTTACAATAGCCAAGACCTGGAAGAAACCTAAGTGTCCGTCGAAGGATGAATGGATGAAGAAAATGTGGTATATATACAATGGAATATTATTTAACCATAGAAAAGAAGGAAATCTTGCCATTTGTGACAAGATGGATGGGCCCTGAGGGCGTTATGCTAAGTGAAATAAGTCAGACAGAGAAAGACAAATACCACATGATCTCACTTATATGTGGAATCTAAAAAAAAAAAACTTATAGATACAGATGGTCCCTGAGTTACAATGGTTCAACTTACAATTTTTCGACTTTAGTGCAAATGCGATACACATTCAGTAGAAACTATACTGTGAATTTTGAGTTTTGATCTTTTCTTTTTAGTTTGATGTAGTTCCTCTTGTTTATTTTTGTTTTTCTTGCCTTTGCTTTTGGTGTCAAATCCAAAAACTAATCACCAGGCTAGCGATATGCAGTACCATACTCTCTTGCGATACTGGGCAGTTGCAGCGAACTGCAGCTCCCAGTCAGCCACACTATCACGCGGGTAAACAACCGATGCATTTACAACCATTCTGTACTCATGCAACCATTTTGTTTTTTGCTTTAAGCACCTGAGATATTCAACACTATTATAAAGTAGGCTTTGTGTTAGATGATTTTGCCCAACTGTAGGCTAATGTAAGTGTTCTGATCACATATAAAGTAGGCTAGGCTAAGCTATGTTTGATAGGTTAGTGTATTAAATGCATTTTTGACTTTGGATCTTTTCAGCTTATGATGGGGTTAGGTCTCGATAAACCCTTTTAAACCCATTCATCGGGATGTAACCCCATCGTTAAGTCCAGGAGGATCTGTAGAGAGAACAGATTGGTGGTTGCCAGAGGCGGGGGTTGGGGGGTGGACAAAATGGGTGAAAGGGATCAAAAGGTACAAACTTACACTTCTAAAACAAATAAGTTCTGGGGAAGTAATGTACAGCCTGGTGACTATAGTTAATAATACTGTACTGTATATTTGAAAGTTGCTAAGAGAGTAGATCTTAAAAGTTCTCATCACAAAGAAAAAAATTTTTTTAACTCTGTATGGTGACAGATGTTAACTAGACTTATTGTGGTGATCATCTCACAATATATACAAATATCAAAACATTTTGTTGTACACCTTAAACTAGTTATATGTCAATTATATCTCAGTAAAAAAATAATAATTTAAAAAATAAAATAATTAAATTTGACATTGAAGCAACCAAACAGATTACCTTGTGCTGTTTTCCAGAACTGATCTAATGATAAATCCTATCCACATTGCATCTTTCTTTCCCAGTAACCATTCTAGCACACCTGGAAGAGATCAAACACACACAGTGCCACAGGACCTGGAAAAGGTTAGACTCTGAACCAGAAGGCGTCATCCAGACCTCCTCTTAAAACATCTATGAAATTCCCATTTAAGAACTCTCTACTCACCAATGTAACCGCCGTTTGTACTGAAACGTTCGTTTAGCGTAAGACTAAACAGTCCCTGAGAAAAAGACAAAGTAATGGAGTGAGAGACTTCATCCTGTGTAGGCCCCCTCACTGTACTTGATATTGTCTCTCAAGGCCTGGATTGGGTGATGGGGAAGGAAAAGATAAATCAAAACCATGATAACATTACCTTCTGTTCACAGAGTTTCAGAATTTCAAAGCCTTTTCACACCTAGTGTGTGAGGTAACTAGGTGGGATGTCACCAGCCACACTTTACTGACAAGGAAGCTGAAGGCCACAAAATTAACGCCTAACTTGCCGGAGTGGCAGACCCAGGACCAGATTCCACATGTATACTCCCAGCCCTACACACCCAGCCACGTGCTTTTTCCTCAGAACAGGCTCGGAAACCTTCATTTCCTTTCTAGTCATCTCTACCACGTGAACTCACACACCTCTGAAGGTGACCAGAAGTACAAAGGGGTGCAGTGGAGCTTCACATTCTCTGTAAGTCCTCATTGCCTTAGACTCTGCCCTTCCCAGACAGTAAAAGTGGGACACAGAGCTACCTGTGAAAGTGTGTAAGGGGAGATTCCTTACTGGTTTGAATCCTGTTAACATGCCCACGTAGCCAGCAAAGCTTGAAGACTTGAAGACAGTTTTATTGTTCCTTCGGAAGTCCAAATTCACTGTTAAAGGTTTTAGTTCCTCAGTTATGACCCAGGAATGATTATTTATATTCCACCTACAAAAGACAAATTTCAGTGCTATTTAAGAACATGATGATGATGATGATGACTGTGATGATGATGGCCAGGCACTACTCTAGGTGCTTTATCTAACTGATCTCTAATATCAGTCCTAATAAGAACTTTGCAATATGGGTGGTTTCACCCTCCATTTCCACCTAATAAAACTGAGGCTCAGAGAAGTTAAATAACTCACCCCATATAACACATCCTATAAATAGCAAATCCCAGATTCGAATGTAAGTCTCTAATTACACAACCCTGCTGTATTTTTAAAGAAAGGTCAAGACAACACATAAAATAGAATGCTATTCTCCCTCCTAAGCAACACACTAGACGTGCATCTAGGGCCTTTTCAAGCAGGCTCCAGATTTTGTTCACTAGGTGCGACTCAGTCACAAACTCTCAAATAACTGAATAAGTAAGGGTGTGCCCATCTTGTCTCAAAACTCAGGACTCCAGTATCTTCACTTCTGGTCATATTTTGGGCATGGCTTGGGACTGAATATTCATCAGTGTGATACAATCTACTCTTCTCAGGGACTGATACACACCACGTTCTTTACTTACCCCAGAAATATTCCAAAATCCATGTTTCGCCCATGTAGTAGATGACCTAATTGAAAGGAAGCAAGAGACAGGTAGTAGCAGTTATGATAGTACAACTTATGCTCAATCAAAGCTGGACACTTAATTTTGGCTAGCTGATATTCACAGCTGTTCAATCCAACAGTAAGAATTAAGCAGCATCCTGATATCATAAGCCTTAACAAGGTGAAATTGTCCCTGTCATATCGGCCAGATCCCCCCATGATACCTGGGAGCACAGGGTTCCAGGTAAGATCTGAATACGGAAAAAGGATCAAAGGTCATTCTTTGGTCCACTATGACACAGTTAGACACAGACAGAGCTATCTCAGCCTCGCCTAATGTGACTTACCAACATGCTTCCCTTCAGGGATTGTCACCTAGAGCTGGACACCTCAAGGGTTAGGTACAGGCCGGCTTTATACCCAGAGAATAGGTCAAAAATAAGAGGGAATCAGAGAAAATCATTGTGTGCCTTGTTCTCTGGGGACTGCCAGGAAAAACATGAGAAAGTGAGGCTGGTCTACACAGGGGCCCTTGGCTGGAAAGTGTCCTGGGCTTGGAGGAACGGCTGGGTCATTATGTATATGAAGATAACGAAGTAGCTCTCTGGGTACTTACATCAAATCATGAGGATGGGCACAAGTAGACCGAGGAAGGGCACAAATGTTTATAGTCCTCAAACACCTCTTCCAAGCTTTCTGCATGCCTGAATTAAACTTTAATAGGCATTACAGTGGTCTTAAAATAAGGATAGATTTCAACTCACTTATAAGAATTTAGCAAGATCTATAAAACTACATGTGATGTACACAGGATTTGCATGGCCAACCTAGATTTTACAGGTTCTAATTCCATTTATTTAGAAGATTTTCTTTTACTTCATACTTGGCACCACCCACCCTCCCTCAGCACACATTTACCTTGTTTGTCTTCTGTTATTATTGAAGTACACATGCTAAAAAGCTCATAGAAAATATTGAATGAAATAATCTCTCCTATGAGAAAAGATAGGAAATTTTTTGATGAATATACAGAACCATGACACTGTTAGAAAATTCTTTTTTAAGAAAAGGTTTAACTGTCATCACTGTGTGAAGTCTGCTTTGGCATACGTTAGGTGTCCGCAGACCAGTCTGAGCATGCCTGAATAGCTGGCTGGTGGTGGTGTCTCACCAGCCTGTCCTCTGCAGACTCAAGATAAATTAGGTCCCCAAAGATGCAGCTATTGGGCAAGTTCAACATCTGGGCATGTTGGAATTGTACTACAACATAATGTCCAAATTTTTCATCAATATGCTCCATTTTAGTTTTCTTTGGGGGGCTCAAATATGATGACTTAATTCATCTGACTCTTAGTTGTATTCTGAAAATGTATTTTGCCCAGATTTTTAGTGTGACTAATATTTCTAAGGTGAGAGGAGAGATACAGGCATTATTAATAAAATCAGTGCAGAGCTTACCAAGAAAACTCATTGTAAAACATTTTTGAATATTTTTCCAAAACTGTATAACACTACAACTTAGTGTTTAATTCAAAGGTATGCAACACTTTTTCTCTGTCCCATTTTATGTTAACATGTTAAGCTTAACATGTTTTTTCTCACTCTAATCAAATGTTTATTTCCATTTGATTTATATTTTGGTGAAATTCCACTCATTTTATTAGGAATCATCTGTTTATCTTCTTAATCCACTTTTCTCTTGAGATATTTACATGTGGTATTCATTTGCTAGAGTTATTTACATAATAATCAAAGGCTTATTTTTCACACAGGCTGCAAGTATATATTTCCAGAAAGTTGACTATCTTTTTAAATCATTTTTTTAAAGAAGGAAAACCAAACAAAAAAATGTAGCTGCTTTTGTTAAAGAATACTATTGATTTTCAGGAATTCTCAATCATCTCTTATAAAACCAAGCTGCTAGTGGCTACTTAAAATAACAACTCTATTGCTTTGGTAGCTTAAAAATAGAACTTTTGGGATGGTGGAGAAAGTTTTTTTCATTAAATTAAATGCTATAAATTGGAAACTGAAATTTTAAAAATAGCTTCCAGAAATATCAGTTCCTAAGGATATGATGGATTGAATATGAAGAATATGATGAAGGATATGATGAAAGATATGATGAATGAAGTCAGCCCTGGTGGTCTAGTGGTTAAAATTCGGGGCTCTCACCACTGCAGCCTGGGTTCATTTCCCAGTCAGGGAACCACACCACCTGTCTGTCGGTTGTTATACTGTGGTGGCTGCGTGTTGCTGTGATGCTGAAAGCTATGCCACGGGGATTTCAAATACCAGCAGGGTCACCCATGGTGGACAGGTTTCAGCAGAGCTTCCAGACTAGACAGACCAGGAAGAAGGACTGGGCGACCCACTTCCAAAAAAAATTGGCCGTGAAAACCCTATGAATTGCAGCAGAGCATTGTCTGACATAGCACAGAAGGGTGAGAGGATGGTGCACAAAGACCGGGCAGGGTTCCCCTCTGCTGTACACGGGGTCGCTAGGAATTGGAATTGACTCAATGGTACTAACAAATGATGAATTAAAGTTATGCAAGACCTCCTCCCTGAAAATAAAAAATACTGCTCAGAGAAATCAATAACCTAAATAAACGTTGACATCTCATATACCATGTTCATGAATTGGAACACTCAGTATTACAATTCCATTCAAAATATCAGCAGGCTCTTTTGTCAAAGTTGATAGGCTGATTCTAAAATTTATGTGGAGGGCCGGCCCCGTAGCTTAGCGGTTAAGTGCGCGAGCTCCGCTGCTGGCGGCCCGGGTTCGGATCCCAGGCACGCACCGACGCACCGTTTCTCTGGCCGTGCTGAGGCCGCGTCCCACATACAGCAACTAGAAGGATGTGCAACTATGATGTACAACTATCTACTGGGGCTTAGGGGGAAAAATAATAAATAAATAAAATTAAAAACAAAAAAAAACACTAAAATTTATGTGGAAATGCAAAGGGTCTAGAATAGCTAAGAGAATTCTGGAAGTTGGGAAGTTGGAAAACTCACACTACCTAATTTTAAGACTTACTATAAAGCTTTAGTAGTTGCGGTAGCATGGTATTGGCATTAGGAAAGACAGATAAATGAAACTTAATAGAAAGTCCCCAAATAGAACCAGATATACAGTTATCTGATTTATATCAAGGCATCACTGCAATTTCCTCAGGGAAGGATGATCTTTTTAATAAATAGTGTTTAATCAACTGGATATTCCCTATGAAAAAAAAAAACTGCACAATGACCCCTAACTTGTACCATACACAAAAGTTAATTCAAAATAGATCATAAGCCTAAATGTAAAAAGTAAGCATAAAGCATCTAGAAGAAAACATAGAATATTTTCATGACCTTGGGGTAGGCAAAGATTTCTTTTTTCTTTTTTTTTGTGAGGAGATTAGCCCTGAGCTAACATCTGCCAATCCTCCTCTTTTTTTGCTGAGGAAGACTGGCCCTGGGCTAACATCCGTGCCCATCTTCCTCCACTTTATATGGGACGCCGCCACAGCATGGCTTGCCAAGCAGTGCGTCGGTGCGTGCCCAGGATCTGAACCATTGAACCCTGGGCCGCTGCAGCAGAGCGCGAGCACTTAACCACTCGCGCCACTGGGCCAGCCCCCAAAGATTTCTTAAATGGACACAAAAACCACTACCCATAAAAAAAGACTGAGAAATTTGGACTTCATTAAAATTATGAATTTCTGTTCATCAAAAGACACCAATAAGAGAATAAAAATGCAAGTCATAGACTGGGAGAAGATACTGGAATAATATATCTGACAAAGGACTTGTATCCAGAATATACAAAGAATTCCTTCAAACCAATAAAAAGGAGCATAAGACTTGAACAAGCACAAGGAAGGAAGGAAGGAAGGAAGGAAAAGATCAATCGTTTAATCTCATCAGCCATCAGGGAAATGCAAATTGAATAATGGAATACTATAACACACTCAACAAAATGGCTCAAGTAAAAAAGAATGACACTATAAAGTGGAGAACACTAAAACTCTTGTCCTATGCTGACTGTCAATGGACACAATCACTTTGGAGAACTGGTGGCAGAATCAACAAGGCGAAAACGTACAGTCCCCCTACGACCCAGCACACATCCAAGAGAAATGCGTGCTGTGCCCATCCAAAGACATGTGCGAGAATGTTCCTAAGCCCAAACCTGGAAACAACCCAAACATATCCTCTTCATCCAATAGCAGTCTGCCTATCATGATAAGTACAAGAAACCAGACACAACAGTTCATACTGTTCAGTTCTATTTATAAGAAATTCAAGAAGAGACAAAACTCATCTATGGTGAAGTCAGAATAGGGGTTACCTGGGGACATGGTACTGTCTGTGAAGGGCCATCATGGACCATTCTGGATTCTTGGAATTTTCTGTATCTTGATCTGAGTTGTGATTACAAGCATGGATGCATTTTTAAAACTCTGTTGAGCTGTATACTTAAGATCTGTGCAGTTCACTCTAGGTATACCATACCTCAATAGAAAAATTTTAAAGTGCTTTATTAAATTTTTTAACGGCTACAAAGGGAACTTTACCTAAAGGTATGTCAGTAACAGCTGCGATCCCCTTCATTTCCTCCTCAAAAGGGCCAGGAAAGTTGCCAAGTAGGCCAGGCTGAAAAACAAATAAATCATTGGACCTAAAGAGCTGCTCTGAGATTTGGTTCTTTTACATATAATTTGTTCTAGATACTGCTGCCCAATAGGTGATAAAAGTTATTTTTTACAGCACTTTTACATCACGTATTTCTAAAAGATTCTATGTACTACTCAATACAAGGTCTCTAATTCTTTACCTCTAGCTTTGGTTCCCTTAAGCTCATGTGTTCTCAGGTATTATGCAGAGACCTATGATTGTTTTTTTCCTGTCTTATATTTCACCTTATTCTCTAGAGAGGGAGGGAACTGGAATAATTCCACTTGGATGACCTAACATGACCCACAACACAGCAACATCACAACAAGCAGCCCTTAATTCTCCAAACTCACCCTCTAGCCAATGGCCTTACAGCCTCATTACTATTTCCTTCCCACACTCATAGCAACAAATCTGTACTCTAGTCCTTCACAAAACCTTTTGTCACGGTTAATGGCTGATCTTGGGCTAAGATGCATTAACTGCATTCTGAATCTGTGAGCAAATTCAATGGTGGACATCATACTTTTATTCTCAACTGCAAGTATTCACTAATGATGAGATCACCATTTAAGCTCACAGCCTCTTGCTAAAATAATGTGCTTAAAATTCACATTTTTCACCAACTTGGTATTTATATGTAACATGACCTAATTACACATTATTATTTTCCCTAGGAATTCAAAGCATTGCACAAGTGGAATATTCCTGCCAATTTAACAAACAAAAGTGACTTACTGAATATTTATTAACCATCTATTACATCCAGGCACTATGCTTCACATACAGTATGTCACTTAATCCTCAAAACCACCATATGTGGGTCGGCCCCATGGCATAGCAGTTAAGTGCGCGTGCTCCACTACTGGTGGCCCGGGGTTCGGATCCTGGGCGCGCAGCAACGCACCGCTTGTCCGGCCATGCTGAGGCCGCGTCCCACATACAGCAACTAGAAGGATGCGCAACTACGACATACAACTATCTACTGGGGCTTTGGGAGAAAAAGGGAAAAAGGAGGAGGACTGGCAATAGATGTTAGCTCAGAGCCGGTCTTCCTCAGCAAAGAGGAGGATTGGCATGGATGTTAGCTCAGGGCTGATCTTTGTCAAAAAAAAACAAAAAAACAAAAAATATGTATTATTAGTAAATATGAAATATGAATATGAAATATGTATTATGTATTATGAAATATGTATTATTAGTAAATTCTCTGAAATTTCATAGGTTAATACACTTGTCGAAGGACACACAGCTAGTATGTGACTGATCCAGCCTTAAAATCTAATGTTTACAGAACAAACAAAAACCCAGTGCTGTCTGACCGCAAAGCCTGGCCTACACACTTCACATGCTGCTCTCACTGCTGACATGCAGAATGGGAAGGATTAGGTTGCGTGGGGCACCGGGGTCCTCCTCTGCTGCCGCTCCCACCGGAATTTTTACTCTGAGGAAGTCTGGTTAGTATGAACACAAAGGACGGCCTTAACCAAAGGCTCTGACAGCATAAACACAGGTATAATAGGTTTGGTGGGTGGCAGGTACAAGTGTCATCAGCATGATATGCCCAGAGCATCCGCCCTCTGGGACAGTGATTCTCAACCAGGGGCAGATTTGCCCCTTAGAGACATTATTGGTTGTCATAACCGAAGGGGTGCTACTGGCATCCAGTAGATGGAGGCTGGGGACGCTGCTCAACACCCTACAATGCATGGACACCCCCCACAACAAAATCTTATCCAATCCCAAATGTCGTTAGTGCCAAGGTTAAATAAGCTGCCACAGGACCTTGGTGTCCTCCCCAATCCTTTGCAGCCTGCAGGCCAGGGAGGGCCCCGGAGCAAAGACTGAAAGAGGGTGATGAGGATTTCTCAGGGGGTTCTAGGAGCCAAGCCCTAGATTTTCCATTGGTTCCACCTAAATGAAAAAGGGTCTGAGATGTAGAGTCTTCCTGCATGAGTAGGAGGAAAATGAAATGGTTTGGTGAATGCACTGCCATAAGAAATACACAACCAAAGCGAATTTCAATGGTCACAGCTGCTGAGAGACTCCGTAAAATACAGGCCTGGGCTGAGTATGTCACTGGGTCATATCTAAAAAAATCTCTGGGTGTCCTGAGATACACAGGCAAAATACTTAAGAAAAAAACCAAATTTTCAATACTGAACTTGCAAACCTAAGTCTATCTAAGGGGCAGGAAATGCCATACTCCCAGATGAAATATGTGTATTTGCCCATTGCTCTGTAAAAAAATAGTCTATACTTTAAAAAAACATTAAAAGAGCGGTTAACTGCCAAAATTTGCTATGCTATTTTATGTCTTGTTACTCTAATATTACCAAGCCCCTGAATTTTAAGTCCCGCTGAAGTTTTAACAGTGATTTATAATAAATGCAAACTTGTCCAAGCTTCTTAGAAAAGGTTGTTAAACGATGCCTTTAAATAAATACCAGAGCCTTTTCTGAACTCTGTGTGTATATGTATATGTGTTTTAAAATTTATTGTGGAAAATAATATTTCTTACCAACTTTTGATCCACTATCTGTATAATTTTTCCACTTGGCACAAATGCATTTACCATATTCTTCACGGAATTCACTATAACCTTTAGCTGAAAAATAAGTAATAAAACAATAAGAGACATAAAGAAGCGTTGACATTGAAGATTAATATTGGTATAATGAAAACAGATATAGACTTTATGACTTATCCATATGTAGCTAAATCAAATAGAGTGCTACTTGAAAATATTTTCAATTAATATATTAACACAATGCAGACTAATTTTATCTTGAACATGACATTTGGTTCTTAGCTATTCAGATGAAGGTAGATGATACTGAGAGAAGGAAACAAATGCAAAGACAACTGAAAAGGGCAAGAAGCTACAGAGGAATGACATCTTTTCCTCTACTATCATTTATTGTAAATGACAGAAAAGTATCGAAAGCATATTGACTCGTGCGTAATTTCATGAAATGATCCTTTAAAAAGAAAATTATATTCAATAAAGTCAGAAGTAGAAGATTTAAGAATCAGCATACCGCTGGGGCCTTGTCAGCCATCAGTTCATGCCATCTTTTGTAGGGTGGTAAATCAAGATTTATGGTGTACCACGGAACCGGACCCCTATAGCTGTAATGAGAGGTGTATTATCTTGAAATATGGAAAGCAGTTTTTTGATGGGGGTTAGATAGTTACATCTATATGGCTATGTTAGAGACATATTCTTAATAACAATGTCAAACCAAAAATAGCAAAAAAGTTCATTTTCCACCCAGTGCTTCTGCAATTATACAATTATACAATTGTATACAAAATATACAATTATATGTAGTTTCAGAAATCTTGGACTAGAATTATACATTAGGTTACTGTGAATTGGTAGAATGTGAAGAGCCAATTTTGGCTCAAGAGCTTTACATAAAAACCTGAATATCACTGCTAGAAAATATCTGCCCTTTGTTTTTTTCTCTTAAATCTCGGCAAAGATTTAGTCTAGGCTCTGGGCACTTCTCTCATTGGTTTCCCAATCTCAGAATTTCCTCTGAGACAGTCTAACACGATTGCCAAATCAATGTCGCTAGTGGTGGCTTCAGAAGGGTCACCTTTTAGGCCCCCACCAGAGTGGCAACATGAATTAGCTTCCCACGATTGGCTTCAAGAACCTGCACTATCCACTCAGCCATCCTACTCTTCCTACTACCCTTCTCTTCTCATTCTTCTGTAGTAAGTCCAAGCCCAAGCCCTGTTCTATCTTACCCATCCCCCAACTTCCTACTCCTCAGTTTACATACAGCAATTCCTCCTGTGAAGACATAGCACCGGCCCCTCCCTCGTTGATGGAGCTGGGCCATATTTCTGGTGCATGAACTCTACAACTATTCTCCGTCACTATAGAAACAGTATCTTCCGGCAAATGCTACTGAACTGAAATAGCCTCTAAGGGTGTGCTATTCAGTGATTTATCAGCTTAAAACTATGCCTACAATTAGCCAGCATTTGCTCCCTTACTGCTCTGCTCCAGAGAAGCACAAGGTGCTCCCTGGTGTGTGCCACAACGTTAGCAGGCTCTTAGTAAAATGTTATGCAGAGGATGTCCACAGTAGAGATGGGTTAGTTCCTAAAGGTCATAAATCGTGGTCCTATTTATATTTCTATTGTCATGAATAATTATTTGATTCTCTAAATAATGCTGCTGATCCTGGGGCCTGGGTGTATGCATAAGGTTTTAGGAAACTGTTAACCAGCAGCCACTCATGTGTTTCAGATAGAAAAGGAAAGCACACGCAATTTTGTAAACATATGTTTAAACAAAATCACAATGAATGAATTTTGTTCTTCTCCAACCACTTTCAAACTTCCATCTCCTTAGTAGCTGATACCTATATTAAATATTGTAATACTTAAATCCTAGAAAGAAACCTTTACATAAAAACAAATTAATTGAGAGCCAGCCCTGACAGAGGTTAAAGTTCGGTGCACTCCTCTTCAGCGGCCCAGGTTCAGTTCCCGGGCACAGAACGACACCACTCGTCTGTCAGTAGCCATGCTGTGGCAGCAGCTCACATAGAAGAACTAGAAGGACTTACAGCTAGAATATACAACTGTGTAGTGGGGCTTTGGAGAGGGAAAAAAAAGAGAGGGATGTTGGCAACAGATGTTAGCTCAGAGCGAATCTTTCCCAGCAAAAAAAATACCCAAAAATTAATTCAATTTCTGACCAATCATAATTTCACATGCAAAATTCTGTTCCACAATTTAATAAAGTATGTATTGTGCCTCCTATTATGGGCAGGTGGTATTAACCTCCTCACTTCCCCGCCAGCGTGCATTCAGATTTCTGTCTCTCGCAGCAACGATAAATCAGCAGCCCACTGAAGCTGTGCACGTTGATGGCACTGTCATAAGATACATGTTCTACCTGTGAACTCCAGTCAGCTGCTTCTTCCCTCATAAAATCCAACAAAACCCAACCATGCCCCTATTTCTACCCTTAACCCCTGATTCTTTTTCAGTTCAGCATTCCAAAGAAGAAAGAGAGAGGAAATGAACTCATTACAGCAGGATTATAAAAGTGGGGATGGGGAGACCCCAGACACCTCTCTACAATAAAACGTTCACTGATGAGAATTCTTGGAGAGAACAGTTAATCTGATTAACAAAATTATTTTAATAACGAAAGCTTAGCCATAATCCCACGTTTCACTTCTAACATTTAACATTTTCCTAAAATATCTCAGTCTTTAACATCTGCACCTCAAATTCCTAGAGAAATAACGAGTTTCTACCTTATGAGGGCAGTGAGGATTACATGAAACATGCAACAAAGACTTAGCAGCATTTGTATTCAACTATAATAATTACCATAGACTACTTGCCTACTTTACTACAAACAATAAACATCACTAAATTATTTTTGAGACTTAGCATTTGCTGTGCCCAGGTCATCATAATCAAAATTAAGCATTGACCAAATCCACCTGGCTCCCCAAGTAGCTCGGAAAGTAGTCCAAGTGACACAACACAGACGCAAATAAGAGAGCAGATGCTAAGCACCAGTGAGCAGTAGAAAAGACATGCTAATGGGATTCAGACGGATAGAGGGGTGAACTAGCTGTCAGTCCCTTGATCTCCAGCATTGATTTGACTGGTCAGGCTGGATAAACAGGTGTTTCTTTCCTCCCTCACAGTTGCCCATGCATACCTCCAGAATCTATGCACTTGATTGAAAAGGATCACCTTAAAGGTACAGGAGGATGTGCTGTCATTCAAAAGTACAAGAATACCACACTTCTCTCCCAGATCTCAAGATCCATTTATAGTTCAGAGAAGAGAAGGATCAGAGTAGAGCTGAGGATTTTTTTTGTAGGGAACAGGCTAGCGAGGTAGGAATCCAGCAGAAATACCAGGGCAAAGATATCTACATTGTGTAGGTGTATAAATATAAGAGAAATGTGTTTATTTGTATATATGTGTACACACATACACTACACAAACACTCTGGGCAACGTGGAACCAGTTAAATGCCCAAGCAGGAAAGGTTTGCAAGGCAGTCAATTCCTAGACAAATATAAGGAGCAGGAAAAAAGCGTCAAACACAGAAGGTAGTCATTAAATGTTCAATGAATTGGGGCAGTGAGACCAGCCAAGAGACGCAAGCAATCAGTAAGGCACTGAAGACCAATATGGTGCCAGTGGTGAGAGAAAGGAAGAGCTCGAGAGAGCAAGCCATCAGAGAGAGGGCTGGAATGTGCACTGGCTTTAGAATAATGGAAACTGATCACCTCTCTGCCAAATATTTGCCTCTTTTTACAGAAAGGTGAGTAAATCAAAAGAATTTAGTTTATTACAGTATTACTGTGTCTGAGACAGAGGCTATTTAGAATACATAATTTAGACAGGTGCAGTGCAATATATATATAATTGGAGTGCTACAAAAACTGAAAATGTCATCCTGATATTAGTGGTTAAACTTGTACTTGGCCTTCCCCACCTCCAGCAGGCTACTTTCAGCAAGAGGGAAAAGCAGGGCAAAAAAGATCACTTTCCCTTCTTTTCCACATTCTGCACCCTCTGGGCCGGTGGGCTATTATGTCTTTCTCACTGACCCATTTAGCCACAAAGGATTTGAACAGGCCAAAACTCTGCACTAAAAATATTAGCATTAAACGGACTAAAACATGATATTGGCCCTTCCCTTAAGTTTTCCAATCCTGTTTTGTCCTCGACAGCTTTGATCATCATGTCAGGGTTTATTTCTTGATTGTTGCATATAGGAGACCCTACTCTTTAATCTGGTAGTTTATACTCAGGCACCACAGAAAATCACAGGTCAGCTCTGCTTAGCAAGTGAGAAAAATGCTTAGCATAGATAGAAGAATTTAGTGGAGAATGGAAATCCTTTTGTCCCCCATGATTTTGATAGGCTAGAAATGGACATTTTAGTCATGGGGTATTTTCATATTTGTCCAAGGTCTTAGCCAAATGCATAATACACGAACCTGAGAAAAAAAATTTGTCTCAGGATAGAAGACATGACTTAAGTTTTTACTCACTATTGTTATTTTTATGAGATCATTACATAGGGAAAACCTCCACAAAGGTCAAAGTGAGTTGTGATCATCTGATGTTACTCACGTTGGTCCAGAAGGAGGATAGGTGGATTTTCTGCAGTCTTCTGTCCACTAAAAAACAAAGAAAATTAAAAGTTTCAGAAAATAACAAACTGAATAGGCCATTTGCAAAAACCGTTAAAGCTTGTAAAGATAAAATCAATTATGATTTGCCCTTTTAGACCATTTCCATACCTCTTAAAAGTCTTTTCCACCCAGGGAAACTTCTAAAATCTCAAACTTAGTGCATTTTCAGTCTTAATTCAATCTGCACTAATGCCAGGTGTTGGAATTTGGCTTTCATTGCAAATGTATTGCAAACATATTGAGTAAAGAGGAAATGTAAAAACGTAGCTGTTTATGTCAGATAGGCTGATTTATAAAAGTAAATTACTTGATAGGCTGTGATATTACTGGAATTTATGAGCCAACTCTATTGCAATAGCGATTTGCATCCCAAACCAGATTTTCAGGGCACCCTGCGCAGTGCCCGTCACGATCTGGCCATAACTTACCATCCCTGCCACTCCCCCTGGAAGTACAGCCCCAGGCAACCACGCCCCATGGCCTCTCCTTCCAGGCCTGTGCATGTGCTCCTCCCTCTGTCTAGAAGACCCTTTCTCTCCCTGGTGAGCTCCCGGCTTTAATTTCTAAGATCCAGTTCAAATATTGACTTTTTTGTGAAGTCTTCATCTACTTCCCATATGAAAACAGTCACCCCCTCCTGTGTACTACCGCTGCATTTCTACACATCTCCATTCCACATTTATGACACCGCATTATAATTATTTGTGTGTGTCTCTCTTCACTGCCAGACTCTGAGCTCCTTGACGTGAGCTTAGTAGCTCCGAGCTCCTGTTTCAGGGCGAGCTGAGTAGCAAAACAGAATTAGCTCTTAACATAAAAAGATCCAAAAGTTCACATGGATTTATGATTCTTTTATTACGAGTTCAAGATAACAAGCATGTTTATCTCCTTTCCTCTGGAGACCCAATATTTTAAAAGTAAAATAATTTTTAAAAAGAAGTATAAATCCACAATAAGAGGAAGGTGGAGTAGGGAAGGAAACTACTAGAACTGTAGTTTGAGCTCAGAAAATATATCTGCCGCAGGGGCTGATGCCATAGCATAGCAGTTGAGTTCCTGCACTCCGCGTCGGGGGCCCAGGGGTGGCCGTTTCAGATCCCGGGTGTGGACCTATGCACCGCTCGTCAAGCCGTGCTGAGGCAGCGTCCCGTATAGAAGAGCTACAACTCTACAACTGTGATACACAACTATGTGCTGGGGCTTTGGGGAGAAAACAGAAAAAGAGGAAGACTGGCAACAGATGTGAGCGCAAGGCCAATCTTCCTTAAAAAAAAAATTAAAAAAATAAAACATTAAAGAAGAAATATATTAAAAATTTTTTTAATTAATATTAAAAAAGAAAATATATCTGCAGCAAATTTGTGCAGGAATTGAGATCTCACATCTTGTTTTAACTTTTGCTAGTATACGAAGTGTATAAAGTAGCTTGACATTACCTACAATTCAAACACTGTCATCAAAATAACTTTACTGCAGGGTAAGTTTCTCATATAAGTGCTGTTTTGCCTCGTAATTTGAGGTTGAATTCATTAAGAAACAGCATCAAGTATCAAATTATCAAAAGCTAATTCAATCATCAGAATTTAAATTTTTAAATTATTAGAAATAGAAAATATTAGATATTAAATAATGTCAATTTGATAATTCGGTATCAAATTAGCAAAAGCTAATTTCCAAAGCTATTCAGTGTTCATTAATAGTCGCTGAGGGTGAGTCTTCTTGTTCAGAAAATTTGAGTCTCAGCTCTGAGCTCAAAAATCACAGTAAAACTTGACTGCTGCTAATGTATCTACCTGCTGTGTGGCAGGGGAAGTCAGGATATTCAGCAAGTATTTCTTACAAAAATTCACAGAAAGGATGATAGTTAAGTCTACAAGAGCAAAAGAAGTCCATGGTTGACATTACTGGTTCAATAACTCATGACAGATTCAAACATTTTCCACAAAGTAATGTTTTTTTTTTTCCACAAAGTAATGCCAGTCAATAGTATAATTAATAATCACAGCTTTACACACCTCGCATTTTCACAAGTTTTGTCCATTTGTCCAACTAAGCCTTTTTCTGCTCCACACATATTTTTCCCACTGTCAAGTGTTACCCATCACAAGAAGATCCCACTTCAGCTCTTACTGAATTACTAAATTCTCAACGTCTTTGAAAACATCCTTGCCTGTAACTGTTTCACAGAGACTCTTCACAGAGACTAATTCTTCAGTCTCAAACTTGGCATTGATGCTCTAATAAATATTCATAACTGATCAGTGTCAGTGACTTCAAGAACCAAGGAACACTACTGGGAATCATCTGCCTTGTTCTTTAATTGATATTGATGTTGCTGCCAAAGTCCCGGGCAACTGTTCTCATCTAAAGCCTAATAATGTGAGACAAATTTTCTCAGGACAAGTCTCCTCCTGCAATCAGACGTGATTTCATGAACTCACCATTGGTAAACGGCTCTCCTTGCTTTGCTAACAAATGAGCTACGTGGAGACTTACTTTGGTTGCAGCCTCATGTTACTTTTTAAAATTTGTAAATAAATTCTGTTGTGATGAGATACTCTGCTTTAAATTTTCTTATTTTTCTGATCATTAGAGTTGGGACTGCTGTGATGACTGCTTAATCTTGTGATGTTGACATATATTGTTCTCTTTTAGTTTTAGCAAACTCTAGTGTCATTGCATAATGAACACAATGCTTTGCCATCTAAATCAGTAACAAGATAATCCATACTCCTCTTTTCTCAAGAGCACATTTTTTTTTCTTTTGTTTGAGGAAGATCAGCCCTGAGCTAACATCTGCCAATCCTCCTTTTTTTTTTTTTTTTCCGCTGAGGAAGACTGGCCCTGGGCTAACATCCATGCCCATCTTCCTCCACTTTATATGGGACGCCGCCACAGCATGGCTTGACAAGCGGTGCATCAGTGCACGCCTGGGATCCGAACCGGCAAACCCCAGGCCGCCACAGTGGAGTGCGCACGCTTAACTGCTTGTGCCACCAGGCAGGCCCAAGAGCACAACATTTGAAGTCCACTTTTCTCTTCTTTTCTTGTTTTGACATCATAGGTTTGCACTGGTAATTTTTTTTTTTTTTGAGGAAGATTTGCCCTGAGCTATCATATGTTGCCAATCTTCCTCTTTTTGTTTTTTTTTCTTTTTTAATGTGAGCCACCGCCACAGCACAGCCACTGACAGATGAGTGGTGTGGTTCTGCACCTGGGAACCGCACCCGGGCTGCCAAAGCAGAGCACACCAAACTTGAACCACTAGGCCACCGGGGCTGGCCCTGCACTGGTAATGTTTTTAAAAGATGAAGACAACACGGTACACGGATACGCGTGGCACTGAAGATGCCGCTGAGTTATAATGGCATAACGGGCATTTGAAGTGCGCCAAAGCCGAGCAGCAGTGAAAAGCCACGAGCAAACCACACGCAGGCTCTGCTGGAACAATTCAACTGCTGTAGGGCTAAAGCAGCCACAGCCAGTAAGGAAACAAGCAGGCGTGGCGGTGTTCCAACACAACTCCGTTTACGGACGCTGACGTGCGAATTTCATATAATGCTTACATGTCACGAAATATTAACCTTCTTTTGATTTCCCCCCCAATTGCTTAAAAATGTAAAAGCCATTCTTAGCTCGCAGGCCTCACAGAAGCAGGTGGCAGGCTGGATTTGTAGTTTGCCAACCACTGCTCTAGGCTACCAACACCCACACAAGCCGCTCCTGCTCTTACTAGGCTATTTGTTCAGCATCTTGAGAGCAAAACTCTTTGAGGTGGCGTGTATGTGTGAAAAAAACAAAAGAGAGAGAAGGAGAGAGAGAGGGAGATGGTACGTGTTTAGTTTTTTGCCTAGCAGTAATGGCACAGGCAGTTCTGTATGCAGAGGTCGGGACGGGGGTTATTTTCTGTTTACTGGCCTTATCTCTCCTTTCATCCTTATTTATTATTCTTACTCTTCAGAATAATTACTACTCTGAACCAGGAACCTCTCGGAGATCTCCCTTCCTCCCAACAGCTTCTTCCGCTGTGCTTCATCCATCAGCACTTCTCCGTCCACTACCTAAATGCCAAAAAGTAATTCCAAGTCTCTCAGACACAGAGGGACTCAATTAAAAACATATGCTCGTGGACTGACATCAGTACTTGGCAGCACTCAGCTGTATTAGTTTCCTATGGCTGCTGTAACAAATTACACAAACTTAGTGGCTTAGAACAACACGAATTTATTATGTTATGACTGAAAGTCAGAAGTCTAAAATGGATCTGCAGGGCTGAATTCCCTCTGGGGCTCTAAAGCAGAACCGTTTCTCTGATTTTTCCAGCTTCTAGAGGTCACCTACATGTTTCAGCCTGTGGCCCCTTCCTCCATCTTCAAAGTCAGCAGCATAGCATCTTCTCTGGCCTCCTGCCTCTCTCTCATAAGGACCTCTGTGATTATATCAGCCTCCCCTGGATAATCCAATATAATATCCCCATCTCAAAATCCTTTCCTAAATCACATCTGGAAAGTCTCCTTTGCCATATAAAGTAACATATTCACAGGTTCTGGGGATTAGGATATGGATATCATTGGGAAGCCATTATTCATCCTACCATACTATCTATACAAAAAGGCATTTTCAAAGACAAAACATAAAATCTCATTACAGGTCAGAAATAACATACAAATAAACATTTGCAATCAATTTGGAACACTAACTCTGAATCTCAATAAGCAAAATGCCCACCCCATAATAATTCATTTCTTCTCATTTGTAGACCTGTATTACAAAAAATGTACTCACTTGTTATTAATATATTTTATCAATAAAAAATGTGTGGAAATTTGTCTTCTCTCTTGTTATATAAGTATCAACATAATACCCTTGATTTTGCCTCTTGTCCCACAAAGCCTAAAAGATTTACAATCTGACCCTATACGGGAAAAGTTTAATGACTCCTGCCTAAGAGTAAAGGTCTCCTATTCTAACATTGAGAGAAAGAG